CGTGGCTCCCAAAGGCACGCACGGGAGAGGACCAGCCAATGAATGCTGCCGTTGGTTGCTGCAGCACCCGGTTCACAGGGCCGGCCTGCAATGGCATTCACCAACACGCTGTTGGAACTCGGCGAAATAAATGCAACATTGGCATTAATGACATTGACAGCCAACAGGAAAATCAAAAAAGTTTGGGGACCTGCGGCTCTTGGATCCCCGAAGAAGCTACTGTTACCGAAACCCACATCAAGAAGCTTGAACTTTGAAAGCAATGGGAAATCTCCTTCCCCCCCCCCCCCCACTCCGGCATCTCTCAGCCTGCAGGCGATTCGTAATGAGAATCCGAAAAGACGATGTACGTTGTAGCGACCCCACCCATTCGGCCGGTATTTCGTCTTACGGCATTGGACTTGGACGGTCTTTGCAGGTCCATCGCTTTCTTGGCAATATATCAGACTTTTGATATCTCGAGGACGCAACTCAACAGAGCCGAGGCGGCGTGGCCAACCGCGGACTCTCCGCTAGCAGAAAGAGCGTCTTCCTGACTCGGCTGAACTTCTGAGGTGTCCGCACCTGTGTTCTGTATGTCCGTAGTTCTTCTGCCCTTACCTCGTCGATTATGGATAGAGTGAGGTGCCGAGCCTCGACACAAGGTCCAACGTGGTGGCGGCTCACTCAGGCATAAGACGTCCTTTGTGCGCAATTTGTTCGCACTCTTTCTGAAATCCGCTCCGGACTTAAACATGATCTGCCGTGTCTGCATACAGGAAACAACGCTCGAAACAGAGATCAACTCCACTCAAAGCGACTCCATCTCTCACTGGCACTTTTCGCCCCCGACAGGCCAGTGCCCACCGGTGCCACTCAATGGAACGGCAAAAAAATAAAATTTGGTCCCTCCACTCATACCTACTACAACGTCCAGGTCGGTCCCTGCGAGGTTGCGTTTTTGCCCGCCCCGCCCCGCCCCGCCCCGCCCCCGTAGAGGATCCACCTGACGGCCCCGGCGGCTCTTGGCCCCCGAGTCGTTAGCGCCAATAAATAATCCGCCGCGCGCGTTGCCCGAGGTCCCACCCGTCAAAATCGTTATTTTTTGTGCTGCCATCCATGATCCCCATGCCAAGTGGAGGAGGAGGAGGAGGAGGAGGAGGAGGAGGAGGAGCGTGCGGTAAACACATTATCTGCCCACTACCGCTGCGACGTCGTTGGTTTCGGGCCCCCGAGATCCTGGATGTGAGATCTGCGTGTTTCTCTGTCTCTCTCTCTTTCTCTCGGGCTTGGAATGCCGAGCTTGCATTAGGGTCTCGATACTCTTAGTGAAGTCTGCGGGGACTACTGTAGTCATGCAATAGTCCATGGCGCCGCCGATTGAACGTCGGCCGAGTTGCGGCGGGCACTTATGCTTGTGTCTCGTGGCGTCGAGGCGCTGCCCGCTTGTTGGGGACGTTGGCTGCTGTGGTGTCGAAGCGCGGGTTTAGGGTGTGTGCCACGGGTATATCGCGATTCTCTCGAGCTCTGGCCAGTTTTAGCGAGATGGCTTGCCGGCGTCAAATGTCAAATAAATAACTTCGCTGTGATTGAGACGCCAAATGGGGATGTTCTGGGTTGGAAGTCACATGTTAAGTGTGGGATCAATATTTCTACTCATTTCTGTTTTCGGGTGATGGAGTATGGGGGTGATGTCTATCGTAGAAAGACGCCGTTGCTTTCGTAAAGCGTGCTCTCATGAAGTACTGCCATGATGAAGTGCTTCCCCCTGTTGTGTGCCTGCACAAGAAGAAAATCACCTACAGGTTTTGAGACATGCTGTCCTCTCAGAGATCACATGTCTGAGTGTTTGTTTTCTCCAAGTCGTAGTGTAAAGCGGAAAGTGGAAATTAGACACAACTCGCGTGAAATAGAGAGTATACACAGTAGATAATCCATCCTTAATATCGTGGTAACCAGCCCTTCTACCCATTTAAATATCCTTATCCAATATCCATCGGTTCTTTCCAAGTAATCAATCCCCTGACCAAAATGGGGGAAATAAAGAGGAAGAGACGGACATATCCACGTCTCTCCTAGCGTTCCCTGTGTTTTGCGGCTCTTTAGTGATACAAAGTCCCATTTTAAACCCTATTTTGACGCCGATAGCTATTGTCGATACTCACCAGCTTGCCGGACCAAACTTTGTTCCAGGCGCGGGCGTGGACTGGATAGCCGTGCCCTGCGCGTCCATGGTTGCAGTCACGATATCGTTACCCCACCATTTAGGCGGCTCAATCTTGTTAAGCGTGAAAGCCAAGAAGATGACGAGCGTGGCGAGCGCCAGGCCGAGGTCGAGACCCGACGAGGTGAGGTAGTTGAGCCGCGACCACCAGCCAAAGTGCTTCTTGCGGATGTACTGCTGGAATACGTAGCCGACGATGCCCCAGGAGAGGTAGTTGAGGGGCGTGGCGGGGGGGATAGCGCCCGCACCGCCAAAGATGAGGGGCGCCATGAGGTACTTGACGGGGGACTTGGGCCACTTGAGGGCGGCGAAGTAGAAGATGACGGGAAGGATTGCGCCGAGGCCGAAGAAGATGAAGAGGCCGGAGTAGACCTGGCCCGGGGAGAACATGCGGGCGGGACCGATGAGACCCCAGATGACGGATGCTGGACGAGGGGTTAGTTTTGTGGCACGACTGGATAGTATGGGTGAGGACGACATACCGGCAAAGAAGACGCGGCCACCTGGGCAAGAGAACTTGTTCTCCTGGTGCGGCGTGCAGACGTCGGGAATGTTCTTCAACGCCGCGTTGAGCACGGCGATCTGGATGAAGCAGGAGAATGTCGTTGCGACAACTTGGCACATGAACATGGTTCTGGGCGGGATCTTCATGTAGTGGCCAAACTTCAAGTCAGAAACAAAGCTGAGTGACTGAGACATGGTGATGTAGCCAAAGGTCTTGAAGCTGTGCAACTTGTCAGCACGAATGAATCAATGAAGTCGAGTGAAACACAGTGTTACTCACATCATGAGCGCGAGAGGGCGTCCAGGCTGAATGTAACCGTAGATGAACTCCGTCAAGACATTCAGACCAATCTGGTTGTTCGTGACGGCCTGGATGATACCAATGGGCAGCGAGAAGCCGAAGGAGATGGCCACCGCCAAAAGGAAAGCCCACCAGGCGAGGTTGGTCGGGTAGTACAGAACGGTGAAGAAACCTAGACCAAGCATCTGGCCGCGGGTTAGTTTACGGTGACCACGCAACCTGAGGGAGTACTCACGATCACGAAAAGACCCATGTACCACCAAGTCGGTGCTTCCTTGTACTTCTTCATGAGCTTCATGTGGATATCGGGCTTCTCCTTGTTGCTGTTCCTGTACTGGGCCCAAATTTGCTTTCCGTTGTGCAGATAGGTATACACGATCAGGGAAGCAATCGCAGCGAACGACAGACCGTAGGACATGGCGAACGTCGTGCTGATGAACAGCGGAGAGTAGTTCTTGTACGCCTCCTCATTCAGTGTGAGCTGAGGAGTCAGAATACGAGACGTGTTGTACGGGTTGCCAGTGTTGTCGTACGTGCCCGAGTCGCTCATGGGCAGGAACTGAGCGTACCACACACCGCTATAGTGGAAGGCGGAGGCGCCAATGATGAAGAAGGTGACAACACCGATGAGGGTGTTGGCAATAGCGTGCCATGGGGGAATGAGCGGGGAACCGACGAATCCGGAAATCTGAGTCCAGTCGAGGGTCAATGGCAAAATGGACAGACCACTCGTTCCACCGAACAGCTGGTTGATGATGACATTGTTCGGGGCAATCCAGGTAGCAAATGCCATGATACTGAGAAACTGGGCGAGGAAGCCGGGAATCCAGTAGTAGCAGAATGAGCCCAAGACGATGATACCGAACCACTTGTATCGAGGCATGCTGCCACCGATGAAGGTGGGATCGGGCCTGTCATTCGTCTCATACATGGCATTCATCAGAGTGACGGAGACCAAGTTTCCGGGCCAGATCATAGCAGCCGGATAGACTGGCAATAAAGTCAGCAAACCTAAATGATAGTTCTCTGATGAGTAACGCACCGAGGAACTTTCGCATGATGCCGGCAATTCCGTAGCCCAAGGACTGAGTGGAAATGGTGAGAAGCAGTTGAAAGACGATGCCAAAATCCTGCTTGTAGAACACCAGTTGGGCCAGAATAATGTCGGTAGCGTAGGCAACCGAGAAGGACACACCAGCCATCACGACAATGATGGAGTGCTCCTTGATGTTGAATGGTCCCGGGTTCAAACTCCACTTGATGCCGAAGGTCTTGAACTGCTTCGTAGGCATCACCTTGGCCCAGCCCTGACCGATAGGCCATGCAATAATTTGTGCAATTAGAGGACCGAGACCAATGGAAGGCTGTCGTAGTGAGAACAACGTGTTCATTGAAGCACCAACAGTGACCAGCATGAGACCGATAGTCCAGGCTCGGATGGTGTTGCAGGGCATATCTTCGTCGTAGTTGCGAACGGCTGCGCGTACTTCAGCATACGGTGAGTCCTCTTCCTCCTCCCTCTTCATAGCCAGCTCATCGTCGACCTCCTCGGTGGGTGTCGTTGCCGCGTTGCGAATCCTCGTCTCGTACTCTTCGGGCAGGTTCGGATCTAAGAGAAGTTCATGTTCGGACCCTTGCTCATCTTCATCATCATAGCCGTGATAGACACTTGACTCACCCCATTGCGAGAGCCTCTCTTTCAAGTCCTCGACCGGGTCACGGTCTGAGAATCTTGAGGTGGTAGAGTCGGCGGGATTGATCTCGCGCCCACTGACCTCCACCTCCGCTTTGGTATCGAGCCCGCGATCGTTGTCCGCCATCATGGGTCCTGAAGCCGTACCAGACGACTTGCCATTAGATGGTTGGGGCATGTTGAAAGTATTCCCAGGAGTGTGGGAGCACAATCATCAACGACAGGGTCCAAACGTCCAAAAGCAGGAGGAGGCAGTGGGTTTCTATATAGGGGGGGGGGGGGGGGGGAGAGTCTAAAGTGTCTAGGCGAATGGCTTTGGGAGAGAGAGAGAGGCGGGAGATGGGAACCCGCAGAGAGGTACTAGCTACCAATGCCGATCCCAGACCAACATGAAGCAAAGGCTAAAATTGAGCCTCTGGTTGTACTCGATAAGCCTCTGGTGTGTACAGAGTCTCTCTCGAGGCCTACAGCGAGTGTGGCGTGATTGGACGTGGGACTCGAATGAATCAACCTCGCAGGTGCTTGGTAGTGCGTGCTACGCAGGAGGGCCGACCCCGTGCTCTCAGAAACAGGGTGATGCTCGGCAGGAAAGGACGGGCGATCCGCAGACCGGGATCAGACTGAAGGATGGCGAGGGCGATGACTGGAGCGAAAGATGGTGGAGGGTGTGATGTGGTGGGATGATCGGACGGCCAGAGAAGTCGAGGAAAGACGAGGGCAAAGGCATGAATGGGGGCTAGTCTCAAGGAAGGCGAGTTTCCCGACTGGTGACACTGCTCGGACAAGAAGATTGGACTCGAAGTGGTTGCAGAGTTCTCATAGGACGAGTGATCATTGATGATAAGAAGGGAAACAAATGCGACGCTGAAACCAAGCTGCGGCACAATTTAGCACAGATGCAGTGTGGTGTGGCGACTCGAGGCTCGGATACAGAGCCGCAAGTTTGCGGGGATGGAGTCGATGGAGGCGGACGTTGAGTTTTGCAGATACCGAGATGCGATGGGAGACCCTGCAAGGCGGGATGGCCAGGCTTCCGAGTTTGCCCTCTGTTCCTGTGTTCCTGTGTTCCTGGCGGGCTCGTTAATTTCTCTTGGCTTCTCAACCTGGCGATGATAACGATTTGGAATGCCGGGAAGACTTCGATGTCTGAAACGTGGCTCAATGGAACGGTTGGTGAGATGAGATGTCGTCCTCCAGGGATTGGCGATCTTTGAATGGCTGGACTAGTTCACCTCCGGGAGTGAAGTTGAGCAGGTTGATCCGATGGTGCGGTACAGGATGTCACCTCCCAGTCTCATGAGGTTGTAATAGAGAAGCAAGTTAAGAAAAGCTTCTTCTACATGAAAGAAGCGTCGGCTTGTGGGATACTAAGGTACCTCAGAGATGAGAAGACGGGAAGTGTGTGAGTGAGTGAGTGAGTGAGAGAGTGAGAGATAGAGTGAGAGCGCATGCGCCAGCCGCAACGTGTGTCGTTGCGCAGCGTTGCGTTGCGTTTCCGACGCAGAGACCAAGCTCCCCAGTTCCAGCCAATCATTTGACACCTAAGAGGCTGAATCCAGAATTCCAGACTCCAAAACCCCCATCGCGGCGACGTTAGTGTCCCCCGCTTCCCGCTGCAGTTGCCCGCCTTTTGGGCCCAGTCGCCAGAAAGGGTCAATGGAACTCAAGATAAGGTACGCTACTGAGATCCCGACACTGTGGCCTCAGCACCGCAAACCCCCCTTTTTAGCTGTCCATTCTTCGCTTTGACAGCCCCTGCAGCGACAGGTCGACAATCTGCACTTATCGACCCTTCGTCGGTGCGGAGGACTTCGTGCAGAGTACGTACTCTCCCGTCAAGAACGCGCTAAACTGCATCTGTGCGGCGCAGCAGAAGCGACCCGACCGCGGTTTTTCCACATCTCTAACATTGTTCCGACTTCAACTGTCCAACCTTACCTTACAGACCACTCAACCATCCTTCACCATCGCTGCCGGCTTAGCCATTGACACGGAGGACCCTACCGCATCGACTTTTCATCATCCCTACCTGCGATAGACACATCGCCCCAGCGTAGCCTCTCCCCTTTCCATCCCCGTCCTTTTCCACATTGTTGTTTGCTACCTTATTCCACCACTTACATGTCGGTGCGTCTGTAGTACAACAAAACACACAGAGACTGGCCCTGGCTATGGCACAAGAATCATGCGACGAGTTGTCGTGACAGGGCTCGGCGCCATTTCGCCCTTTGGCGTTGGCGTGCGCTCCACGTGGAAACGTGTGTTGGCTGGAGAATCAGCCATCACCAGTGTGGCTGACTTTGAGCCGCAAAGCCGCTGGAAAGATCTGACGAGCACAGTTGCTGGTGTAGTCCCCAGTAATGGCTCAGGTCCCGATCAGTGGCGGCCGGGCGACTGGCTGGATGCCACGGAACAACGTCGCATGTCCAAGTTTGCCCAGTACGCCGTAGCCTGCGCTGACATGGCAATGCAAGATGCCGGGTGGAATCCGGAGAGCCAGGAGGACAAGGAGGCCACTGGCGTGTGCCTTGGCAGCGGTATAGGAAATCTGGAGGAGATTTACGAGACGAGCTTGGCGTTCAACCAACAAGTGAGATCTCGCTGCAATGATCGACAAGCGAAGCCAAGCTAAAGTCTGTTCTGGTAGGGCTACAAGAAGGTTTCACCACTGTTCGTCCCCAAGATTCTCATCAACTTGGCCGCCGGTCATATCTCCATGAAGTACGGATTGCAGGGCCCGAACCATTCTGTCACCACCGCCTGCACAACCGGTGCCCATTCCATTGGAGATGCGATGCGATTCATTGCTTTTGGAGATGCCGACGTCATGGTTGCTGGCGGAACGGAATCTTGCATCCATCCCCTGACCTTTGCTGGTTTCGGGAGGGCAAGGTCCCTCTCCACAGCCTACAACCACAACCCCCACGCCAGCTGTCGTCCCTTCGACCGCGACCGTAATGGTTTCGTCGTTTCGGAGGGGTCGGCAGTCCTGGTCCTGGAGGAACTCGAGCACGCCAAGGCCCGCGGAGCCAACATCTACGCGGAGGTGAGGGGCTACGGCTGTAGCGGCGATGCGCATCACATGACGGCCCCGCGGGAAGATGGACACGGAGCCTTCCGCGCCATGAAGCTTGCTCTGAAGAACGCGCAAGTCCGGCCAGCCGAGGTGAGTTACATCAACGCGCACGCCACAGGGACGCAGGTGGGCGATGCGGCAGAAGCTTCCGCGATACGAAGCATCATGACGGGCGAGGAGGGTTACGCGGACGAGTCGCAGGTGACTGTGAGCAGCACCAAAGGCGCCGTTGGCCATCTGCTAGGGGCGGCTGGCGCCATCGAGGCCCTGTTCGCCGTGCTATCGGTTGCAGAGGTGAGTCGCGGCTATTGGGTTTCTGAAACCAGAACCGTATCTTCCCCAGACTTTTTTCGTCTTTTCTGCCCAACCGAATGTTTTCTCTGACTCTCACCCAAAAGGATATCGTACCGCCTACACTGAACCTCGAGAATCCGAATGTCGGGGGATCCATGAATATGGTACCCCTCGAGGCACAGGCGAAACAGGTCAACGTTGCTATTTCCAATAGCTTTGGCTTTGGCGGGACGAATGCCTCGCTCGTTTTTTCCAAACTACGTTAAGTGAGGGCAGCCGTGCCGATGGGATCAGAAGAACTATGCGATGACGGCTGCGCCCGTAGAATGTCTAAATTGGCTCTGGCTTAGACTCAGACTTTGGACAGACTGGGAGAGAAGCTTGGTGGAAAGCTTCTCATTGTAAGACTCGATGTATGATTGGGTATGGAAATTGTAGGAGATAGAATTGCCGACATATGTACGCGGCCACTATGAGTTTAATATCTGCTTCAACATCGGATACGGGCCTTTCCAGGGCTTTGAGTAGATTAGGGTGTAAAGTAACGAGCCTTGTGTGAGGCTTATCGTGAGAAGTTCCGCTTCACACAACGTCAATGAAATATTCTGATGCGGAAGAGGAAGAAAGTCGCCGATGCTTCTCTTTGAACTGCATTATGTCAAACGCCAAGACTGAACATCAGGCAATTGAGCATCGCGACATCGTCAACCTAAAGGGATTACATTGGGGGGTCTCTACAGTGTGTATTCACACAGTTAAGCACGGTACAAAGGAGCGGCGGTCATGGCCCGAAGTTCCGCCGACCTACCTTAACATGTGCTAGCTCGAAATTTCCAATTCGATGTGTTCATGAACTTTTTTTTTGGATGACGTCCAGACTTTTTGGAGCTCCGCGTTTCTGGGCCCAAGCTGCTGGTCACCCTTCAATACCCCGATCCCCCGGCTCACCTCGACTGACCGCATACACTTTCGGATAACGCGACGACCCCATTACACCCATCACCCACGCGAACATTCCGAGATAAGACGCAGAACCCGGCTCCTTTTCCCTGACATCCCGAATCAGCAACAAACCTTCAAGATGGCTTGCCAAAGCTGCCGATACCAGGCTAGGCTCCTGGCCCGGAGCCTGCGCGCCACCGCCGACCTCGCGTCCGCATCGCCCTCCCAGCAGACCTCCATCGCCGCGACAGCACGCCGGGCGGCATTGACGACATCCAAGACCGGCCCGGCGGCGGCGGCGGCGGCGGCGACTACCACCATGGGGAGGAGGTACTTCAGCCAGACGGCGACGCGGCGGGATGCGGCGCCGTCATCCGGCGGGCTCAAGCAGGCCATTGCGTCGGGCATGATGGCCGCCGCGCCAAAGACCATGGCCGCGACCCTGACTACCTCCCGCCTCGAGGCGCTGTACAAGATCTGCTCCTCGCCGGCGCTGTACAAGATCTCGGAGCAGGAGCGCGCCAAGGATATGGTGCGCATGACGGCCGAGGGCGAGGAGGTCGGAGACCCCATCGGACCGTGGTTGCAATGTGCGTAATACCATTTCCTTTATACTCCATACTCTCGGATGGCAAAAGAGCCCATGACTACTACTACAGTGTACTAACATCCCATCGAAAAAAACCAGTCCTCGACCTCCAACCCGGCTTCAGCTCCTGGTCCCAAGCCACGATGCTGCACATGTACCTCGTCCTCGCCCGCCTGCGCTGCCTCGACCGCGACAGCTCCCGCAACCTGCAGCACCAGTTCATCGACCAGTTCTTCTTCGACTGCGAGCGCATGATGCACCTCAACCACGGCATGACCTCGTCCGCCCTCCGCCAGCGCTACCTAAAGGAGATTTTCGTCCAGTGGCGCGGCCTCATCGCCGCCTACGACGAGGGCGTCGTCAAGGACGACAAGGTCCTCGGCGCCGCCGTGTGGCGGAACCTGTTCAAGAGCCGCGAGGACGCCGATCTGCGACAGGTCGCTGCCGTGGTCGCGTGGATGCGCGCTACGCTTCAGGATCTGGAGGCGGCGCCCGTGGAGGATATTCTTGTCGCGCCGGCAAAGGTGTTCAAGAGGGATGTGAAAGAGATGTTTGCTCTTGTTGATGCTGTTGGATCGCAGGTTAAGGGGGATGTTGCTAAGCTTGGTGGTGGTCAGGAGGCGGCGGCGGCGGCGAAGGCGTAAGGGGGGATCCGAGAGAGAGGGGAGAGTTCTTCGGCGGCCGTGCAGACGGTTAGAAGGGATTCCGTGGGTCGCCGCAGTGTATCAAACTTGGGAAGATGATGAGAATCATGTACAGCATTGACGGGACGTCGCAGACTGTAGAGCCTGGCATGGAGAAGGGATACGCCGTAGGCCTTGTAATTTTGTACAATCACCAACGCATATTAGAGGTATCGAGATGGAAATGAGGAACATAGATACGGTTCCATGAAATCCAATCTTTTTTGTACATGTCCACATCCCCCTTCATGTTCCTTGAGAAGGATTGGAAGAGTATTTACAAGCGTTTCAATTCTTCTCCCACATCTGGAACTCATACCTCGTCTCATTCTCCTCAATCTCACCCCCTTCAACCTCCTCCCCAACCCACTCATCAAGCCCCTTCTTCTCAACCTGAGCCCATTGCCCCTCGCCACTACCACCACTCTCATCGTCGCCGCCGAGCTTCAGCGGAAAAAACGCATCACATTCAAACTCCCCCAACACCCTCGTCAGCAGCACCCTCTTGGCCTCGGGAACCTCGAGCGCCGCGCCGTAAATCTGCGCGCCGCCAATGACAAAGACCCTGCCCAGCTTGGCGCCGGCCGCGGCACCGTCACCAGTAAAGGCGTCGGAGCGGAGGAAGGCGAGGGCCTGGTCTAGCGAGGATACCTTGACCGCATCCTTGTCGAAGTCCGTGGCCACAGAGTCCAACGAAGCAGGATGAGAGCGGCTGATGACGATGTTGAGGCGGCCCTTGAGGGGCCTGAAGCGGGGCGGGATGCTGTCCCACGTCTTGCGGCCCATGATGACTGCGTTGCGGGCGTCTGAGGGTGCCTAGTGCCCCATTGTATCATTAGCTGTCGAACAGTACGTCTACATGGTAATAATCTCGATATGATGTTATGTCGTGATGACTCGCCAGTAAGGCGATTGACATGCAGCAGACCAGACCAGGCGCAAGGCCTAACCACATACGAAGCGAGTTGAGCGGAGGAGAAAGACATGGTCGTTTACGTACCTGGGGAGGAAGCCTTTTCGTCACGCGCGCAAAGTACGCCATCTCCTTCTTCAATCCCGTCCACGGCAGGCCGCCCTTGGCGCCGATGCCCATGTTGCGCGTCGCCGCGACGATGAGTGTGAGTTCGTGGCTCATGGTGGCTCTCTGGTGGAGGGGAAGGATTTCTTCTCTTTTCTAAACGTTCTTCTGCCTCTCGAATAAAAAGGAAAAATGGTAGTTCCTTGGGCCCGGGGAATACGCCAAAGAATGAGGGTAAAAAGTAGACTGGCTTCGAGGGTGGTGTAATGTACTCTGCCTTGGCTGTTACCTTGGGCTGGGAGTGTAAGTGTAAGTCTGAAGGTGTGTGGTTCACTCTGAGTTTTGCGCTAGCTGGAGTGACAATTGGTGCCGGCCGATTGGTGGGCTGGTGTGGAATGTCGAATCAGTGGTGACATTGAAATCACTTCCCGACTAACAACCACAATCACAAAGACTTGCGTCCGTCCCATAAGTCTTTGGGGTTTGATAATGTGTTCCCATATTCAAGTTCCTTTTCTCAATATGTGGAAAAGGGTCAAATCAAGTAAAGAGACAGAGGATACGTCACAATGAGAAGAAAATAATCGCTGGACTAGACCCGCAGCATCAAATACGTCACATATCACGCACTATCTGGGGCACACATTGAAATCTCTCGATCATTTGCCAATCCTGGTATTTTCGCACTTGGTATAATGTAAGTGACTTCCGCGTCACATTTGACTAGCCTAGCCGTTGCTGGCCATAGAACCGAAACGCCGTCGACCTGTTGGTCGAGAAAACCATCCTGAGAACCATCCTCTCGTCATTAAGAATTCATAAACTTCCTTCTTCTCGTTCACTGGCCCACCACACGCCTTTATCTCAACTCTACTGAAGGAAAGTACCGCGGTCCAGCGAACCCTTTGGCAAGGACCGCTTGTATATCGATATTACTTCCAGCCGCTCGACTGCTACTCCACATCTTCAGGAGGATAAATCTCCCAGCAACCGGGGGATCGAATCGTATTGTGCATTTGCTCTTGTCCTTCTCAATGAAGAACTTGGCATGTGGAGCCATGAGCTCACCACCGACAGCCCGAACAGCCTCTTGCGTTGCCATCTGATTCGCCTCAACGGCCTCAGCCAGTGACATATCATGAGGGTCACGGCGCCTATTGTTGAAGGAATAATCGTCAAAGTCTGACGCAAATGGATTGCCGTCGTCGCTGCTGTCACTCTCGAACGGTAGGGATCCAATTCTATTGGGAGCTGTCCGATTCGCAGTGATTCTAGGGGTATCCTCGTCGTCAGTCTCTTCGTAACTGCATTCGGTGGTGATGTTGAAGGGCGGTAAGTGTGTGGTGAACTCCGCCGGGATCTGCGCCGTCCGATTCTCATTCTCATCGTCGTCATGCCCCAGGCTGTATAGCCGTCTCTGCCGAGTGTGCGTTCTAGTCACAGTCGTTCCGTCTTCGTGATGCCGTATCGAGATGATTGGTGCGAGTGCCCGTGTAGCCGTTGTATGACCTGATCTCTGAGGAGCATACTGTATTTCATATTGTGCCGTTCGCCTCAAGAGCTCATCTTGATTCATTGAGACAAAGATCATGCCCTCTCGTACGCTGCATAAATCTGTGAGAAAACCGCTTTCAAGAAATAGGGGAAAGTTCGAGAAACTCACGGTGAGGAGTAATTCGATGCCGGCGCCTTGATGACGAGCTCCTTCAAGCTGAATGCAGTCCCGCCCTGGTGTCGAAGAATGATATTGCAGCGATTAGACTGTGTACAGTACACGGTCTTGTCGTCCTTGAGGATATTTTCGTGGGCGTGAAGAGTAGTATTCTCGTAAAGTCCTCCATCACAGCTCATGATTTCCATCTTTAGTTGACCCGACTCAACCTGGCCATACCGTCCATATCGAAATCCCTTGAAGCTCTGGGCAATGCGTTCAGAGTCTAGCTTTCTCCTTTTTACTCTCCGATTCTCCTCTGGGTACTCTTCCGACGGAGGCAGAGGCGACAGATTTGGCGGGGATTGGTTGGGAGGCATCCTGGGCGGCGAAAAGGGCGAAGAGCTGTACTGGGCTCTCCGATTCCACAGAGCTCTAACTGCTTCCAAGTCGTCTTCCGTGCCGTCGGTTCGTTGACGTCCGCTGATTGTCCTGACTGTTCTGTACCCGAAGACTGGAGGCAACTGAAGGGGTTGGCGCCGGGTGTTATCGTCGTCGTCGCGCTGGTCGTTCTGGTCGTTCTGCAGGATATCTAGTAAATTTGAGTTTTGGCTCCAGCCAAGATTGTTGTTTCGAGAGAAACCAAAGTCGTCTTGCGCTTGAGACATAAATGCCGTGAAGCCACTCAAACTGTTGCCAACGAGCTCGTCGTACTCGGCCTGGAAATTCCGATCTGCCATGTGCCGCGTGAGCTGATAGTAGGTCTCGGCCTGGTCTTGCGTAGTGTAAGGCTCAGGCTCCCAGGGGTGTCGTCTTGAGGCGCTCGGGGAGAAGGTGAGGCGGCTTGTATCTCTAGAAATCGGCGGTAGTGGGGGAAGCCTGCGGTGTGGTGGCAAGGGTGGGTAGTCGTCGTCTTCGTCGTCGTCGTGCCTCTGGGTACGTTGGCTCGGGTCTGGCCGTTGCGACGACATGCTTCGTGGGCGAAGGTTGCAAGAGCTCAACGACGCACGCGCCAGGAGACAAACCAATTTGTGAAGGTCTCCTGGTGCTGCGCTCGTTACTATCGACGTAAAATAGGCGGCGGTGAGAGCGGGAGCGCCGGTTCGAGGGGAGAGAATTATGGAGTTTGGTGGGATCGGGGGTGAAGGCGGGCGAGCAATAGATTCGTGGTCCAGCTACCTGGAGGGTTATCGATCGGGGGCGACTGGAAGAGGGCAGAAGTGTTAGACACCAGTAGATAAGGCGAGATAGTAGCACAGAAGAGCATGCGAGGCGTAGCAGCCCGTAGGAGTATAGCTTGGTCGTACGGGCTGAACCTCCTCCACCGGGATCGTACTCACAAAGGTGGTGAATGCGAAGGGCGGTCGCTGGCCCAGGTGTCGACCCTCGTCGCAAATAGTGAACCGGAGAGTGATGGGAATCTAGAGCTTGGTTCTCGTGCTGTAGGTGGCAGAAGCGGGCAGAGTGTGAGTGCAGACAAGAGGGCCTGACGGAGCTGGCGCGAACGGCCGTCGTTGCAGCTCGGATTGTGTCGTCAGCAGGTCGGCGGAAAAGCAAAGATGGCTGGCTGGTCGATGATACAAGTTGGAGTTGGACTGAAGTGCCGCTGACCGCTGGTGCTTGTGCTGGTGCCGGTGCTGGTGCTTGGATTTCCGTTCCAAGTCCCCTCTCGACAGGAGGCGAGCAAAAGGACAGGCAGCCAGTGACAGCGGTGGGATCGCCCTGCTGCACCCGCTAAAGAGAGGCCCCCCCCCCCCCGGCCCTGCCCATCGCGGGGTTTCGTACTTGCAAGAACCAGTGAGGCAATGAAAGAGAGGGGCGTCGGCAGCAAGATGCTACGAGATACATCATGTTAGTATGTAACGCTACGCTAGGCAAAGGTACCTCTTAAGCGTGGCTTTAGCGCGTTATCCATGTTAGACGCCGAGGCCTGCGTTCCATGCGAGCGTGTGCCTACCCTACCTTAAGGTACCGTACCGGGGCCGTCGCGTTAACAATTTCTCAGGCGAAGCTGCCTTCCTTGTCCAACCTAAGCTTGCTCTGTCTAGGTACCTTAGCCTCGACCTCAAAGTGAACCCATCCCGTCCTCAGCCTTGCTTTCTGAAGTGAGAGGGCGTACTCATATATCGCCATCACTTCTTTCTGTTTGGGATATTTCCTTCTGGAACATCCATCAATTTTCTTGCTATTTCCGTCATTGGATGAGCGAAAACTGCGATACCCCCCTCACACCTCTTACGACGCACCCAGAAACGATCTCACTTGACGCGGTCTCACCACTCAACTCTCGCTTCATTGCGCCAACTCATCTCACGAGCCAAACCACGACGCGCATGACTTACTGAGCTGCCCTGACGATTCGCGACTCAATTACGTAGGAAACGAGGACCATATTCTTTCGGATTCCAAATCCAATCATCAATCAACGCCAGTCTCATCTCACGACCTCATCATGGAGGAGCAAACGCAACCAAAGGAGACACCGGCGCAAGAGACGCCGGTGCAGCAACCCGCACAAGAGACCGCAGCCCCGAGTAGCAACGCGCCAGCTCAGGAAACCGCCCTACCTCACATGCCTCTCCCCAATCCCTCAAACGGGTTCGATCCCAGCATGCAAGCCGCGCCAATGGACCAGGTACTCCCGGAAGCATTGCAGGAGGTCATCCCCGGAGCCATGCCCGGCATCCTGCCCGGGATGTTGCCTACGGGCGAGATGTTCATGCCTCAGCTCCTCCAGCAGAACGGACAGCAGCAAATCTTCATGGTCAACGACATGCTTCCAAATATTCCAGCTCCGGCACCGGGCATGAGCGCAGGTACTTCTGAGCCATCTACCTACATGAGACCTCGCAGACAGACTGACACATTCTACCAGATGAGATTGCGCTCTACGACCGTCAAATCCGCCTCTGGGGTATGAAGGCCCAGGAAAAGATCCGCAACGCCAACATCCTCCTCATCACAATGAAGGCCCTCGCCAACGAAATCGCAAAGAACCTCGTCCTCGCCGGCATCGGCTCCCTTACCATCCTCGACGGCGCCGCCGTCTCGGAATCAGATCTGGGCTCCCAGTTCTTCCTCTCCGAAGAGGAGCACCACGTCGGCCAGAACCGCGCCCAGGCCGCCGCCGCCGCCATCCAGAAGCTCAACCCGCGCGTCCGCGTCCACGTCGACGCCGAGGGCATCAAGTCCAAGGGCACGAGCTACTTCTCCGCCTTTGACATCGTCATCGCCACCGACCTCGACCCGGACTCCCTCAACATCATCAACACCGCCACCCGCCTGCACCAGCGCGCCTTTTACGCCGCCGGCACCCAGGGGCTCTACGGCTTCGTCTTCTCCGACCTCATCGAGCACGACTACGTCATCGAGCGCGACCTCGGCAACGTCGCCACCAAGCTCGCGCCCGAGACGCGGACCCGCAGCGTAATCGCCGTCAACACCAAAAAGGAGGGCGGCAAGACCATCGAGATGGTGACCAAGCGCGAGCTCTACTCGACCTGGTACCTCGCCAGCGACGGCGCCACCCTGCCCGACGAGTACGTCAAGAGCGCGCGCAGGAAAAAGGCCGTCAGCCCCGTCATCTCGTGCCTACGCGCCCTCTGGGACTTTCAGGTCCTCAACAGCGGCCGCGTCCCCAGCCACACAAAGGAGGACCTCGGCCTCTTCACCAAGCTCGCCACGGCCAAGCACGCCCAGCTCGGCCTGCCCTCGGAGACGCTGCGCTCCGCGGTCCTGCGCGGCTTCCTGCAGAACATCGGCAGCGAAATGGCCCCCGTCACCGCCATCCTCGGCGGCCAGCTCGCGCAGGACGTCATCAACGTCCTTGGCCAGACCCAGCAGCCCATCCAGAACATGGTCATATTCGACGGCAACACCATGGAGGCGTCGGTCCTCCCACTCCACCCCGTCGGCGAGCTGGGCCGCGGCCTCCTCTCGCTCGCTGCGCCCGCCGGTCTCATGCCGAATGGCGGGGGCCTGATGCCTGCTGATCCTAGCATGATGATGAGCATGGACGGTGCGGTAGACTTCAACAACCAGATCCTCACGCAGTAGACACTTTTGCCCGGGGTAGCTCGGAGTTTGCGGTTGTGTGTGTATAACAGTTTCTCGCGAGGAGTCAGATGATAAGTAGAGGAAATCAACCCGAACATCCCTTTTCGCCGGTGCGAAAAAAACAAAAATGGCTCGGATACATGTAATATCAGATACACTGTAATCAAAACACAAAAGTTGAAGTGGCTCACGCTCCATTTACGTCATGTGCTATTCGCAAAACTAAGTGGAATGTTTTAAGGATTTGAAATCATGTTTCCCTCGAAGACCTCGCGAGCTCTAAGCAATGCTGCTACATCCTCACATGCAGGGCTGCCATAATTATGCGAAATCTTATCCGTGGTTCAGAAAAGCTGTGGGTACTACCTTTCATACAAAGGCACAAGCAACCGTACTGCTCTCGTCATATATATGAACAAGAGAAACCTGCACCCTAAAGCCACGCCTCGACTTCGTCTTCGAGGTACATGTAATTATCTTGAAGACAGAAATGTGAACCAGTCAAAAATCAAGAGGTAAGTAAGAACGAACACAGGCTCGTAGTTATAATGGCTCTCCAATTCCACCTTCTAGGAATCAATAAGCTCGCCCTCAACTAATTACCAAAGCGGTTATATCGCTCTACCTCTTGACAGATATCAATTGTACCTTAGAAAACATCAGTTGTCGGACCGTACGACATAAGGTAGTGTGGGACATAAGATGGATAACGACTTCACTCTACAAGCCAGACTCAGGAGCACATTTCTCAAAACCAATTCTCTTTTCGTATTCATTATCATTCCAAATATGCTGGGGCACTATTGACCCCGGCCTCTCGGCCCTAGCTCTCATTCCATTCAAGGAGCTTCTCCACCTGGCTTTTCAGCCCAGCCCTCTCTCTTTCTCTCAGTCTTTCACCTGCATACGGATGATGCGGACAAAAGATCTTCAGATGTGTAAGATCAATGTCCAAGGTGATGTGATAATAATACATGCTCTTTTGGCTTGTTCCGATTCGTCTGCAACACGATTCTCGGATCCCATTCAGGTCTTCTTGGAACCTTACTTCTTGACAGTCGTCTTCTTAGCGACCGTCTTCTTCGTAGTCATCTTTTTAGCGGCTGTTTTCTTAGCGGCTGGCTTCTTGGCAGCCGGCTTCTTCACTCCCGCGCCTGTTGGACCTTGCTTCTTTGGCTTGGGCTCTGGCGACTTGCGATCCTGCTCCTAGCGGGACCCGCGTCGCTCGTCGCCGTTCTCATCTGTCTTCTGGCGCTGGATTCTATTATTGTTGATGTTCCAGCCCCGAATTTGGACAGGGCCGCGACGCGGAGGGGGTTCCGTAGGCGCATAATCTTTGATGTTTTCCTTGTAGTCATACTGAACGGTCCGCAGCTCAGGACCTTGAGGCCAGCCTACTCTGTGAGCAGGCAGGGGTGCGGGGGCCAGCTTGGGGTATTTGCTGTTTCCCTGTGCACTTGGAGTTGATGAACCACTTCCGGCCCGGCTTCTAGACGGTTCATTGGGCTGCTGCGGAACGAACTGAAGATTCGGAGGGCTTTGCGCCGGGGCAATGGATGAGTAAGTGGGGGACATGCCCGGGTGCCCATAAGGCGGCGGTTGCTGCTGCTGTTGCTGCTGCTGCAGAGGTGGCGGCGGAGGTTGCGAGCCAGGGTAGGGAGGGTACTGGTTCATCATGGGCGGCAAACCAGGCTGCTCTTGTGTGTACCCATTGTGGTATGGCCTGGGTGGACCAGGGGGGTAGAACGAGCCACTGTTGGTGTTCATGTAGGGTGGCGGCGGTGGCTGTTGCTGTTGCTGCTGCTGCTGCTGCTGCTGCATTTGGTGTTGTTCAAGCTGAACACTCTGCTCTGGTGCAGCAGGAGCACTCTTGCGGCCACGAGACGGTCGCAAGGGCGGAAGCGGCGAGCTCCTGTCTTGTGAAGGGTTTGTGAATGGCATACGTGATGTAGAGCCAGCTTGTTGTAGTTGAGGGGAGGCCTGCGCCATTGGTCCTCCTTGCATTGGCATGCTCGGCAATTGGTAGCCCTGTTGGGCCTGACCGTAAGCCTGCTGCTGGTATTCATGGTGGGCGGCTGAGGCGTCCATCGGAGCAGAGTAAAGACGCGGGTCGATCATGGGGTCTGCTTGCGGGAGGTGTTGCTGATTATGAGGGGGAGGCAAGTGCTGCTCGTTGTAGGCCGACGAAGCGTTGTGCTCGTGGTACATAGAGTGCCGGCGGGTATCATTGGTGGCATCGATCGAGGACCTCATTTGAGACATCTCGACCGGGCGAGCAGGGGGCAACTGATTCGAGTACGGATCTCTCATCGACGGAGTCTCGATGGAGGGGTGAATTCGGCTGTCTGCACCTGGTGAAGCGATGCGGGGTTCAATCCAGCCGACGCTGTCGTTTGAAGGCGCGGTCTGGATGCGGAATTCAGCGGGAATGGGCTGAACTACGTAGCCGGAGTCGATGTGGTGATGATGAGGAGGGGGAGGGGGACCATCGACTGGAATGGGTTGGCTGATGGGAGCCTCGGCCGTGACAACGTCGACGGGCTGAGAAGGATACGTAGAAGTAGACGCATCGGCGAGGATTGCGAGCGCAGTGGTGTCGATGGGTTCCGGCAACAGGACGGGAGCTGGAGGCTCAACGGCAGCGGAATCGGACCCTCCGAATATGTCGCGAATAGCGTCATAAGCACGGGTAGTAGGTCTGACGGGGGTCGGAGCGGGCAGGATCACCGGCTTCTCTTCGACAGATTCCACGATCTTGGCCTCCGCCTCAACGGCCTCAGCAGCCACGACCAGCTCCTCCAGACCAGCAATGTTCAGGGCAGAGTCGTTCATGGGGAGGGGCGAAGTGGCAGGCGTGTCCTCCAGACTCGCGGGCTCGGATTCCTTGATTGACTCGGCGATGAGTCGTTGCTCGGCGTATTCTTCTTGGATTTCCTTTAGAGCCTTGAGCTCAGGCCCTTCGATGTCCTCGGGAGAGATGTCTTCCTTTTCACAGATGGAAGAGAGAACTGCACCCATTCTTTCCGAGTGTGGCTTGTCGGCTAGAGCAATCTCAACCTTTGCAACGGGCACGACACGAGATGTGTGGATGGTCTTGCCAGAGGGAGTGAGGAAAACAGTAGGATGCATCGGCTCTGCTTCCTCCTTTGGCGGCTCGGCGTCATTTTTGCTCGTGGGCAGAAAACAACCTAGTCGGGGGTGAGTGCCGTGCTTCTGTACAAGTTCCAGGTCGTAGTCCTCTTCGTCAAGGTCCCTAGCATCCCAACGAGCAAGGAGAGGATCAAAGTGCCAGGTGTTCGAGTTCGGCTTTCCGAGATACTTCCCACGCTTAGCAAGCGTGGCTCCATGCCTAGGGGAGTTGGTCGAATCACGGAATCCAATCTCGTCGTCGTCGAACTGGAATGATGGAGGGACAATGAGACGATTCGCGATACTCGCGCCATTCTTGGCTGTCGGTCGGTTGACTTGCCTGCAACCGTATTCATCTGGCTCTGAAGCCTTTGCCGGCAAGGCTGGCTCTCTCTGGTCAGCGGTCAACGGACCCTCAGGTACCGGTGTGCTCTCATTTGATTCGTCTTCGATGGGGGCATGCTGAGCCGACATGATACCGGCAATATGACGGACGGGCGCGACATCGGCAGCAGCAGACCTCTTGGAAGCCGGTTGGCCATCGGGTTGTTGATTGGCTTTACGCTTGCTGGTTCGTCCTCCAGTCGCCGCCGCGGAAGGTGGTGCCAGAGTCTCCTTCGCCGTCTGAGGTTCCGCCCAAGCAGCCTGTCTAAGGGCATGGGCTTCGGTGCCTTCAACGATTTGAGGATAGGGAACGAGCGCTCCTCCAACGTAGACTTCGTAGAGGCCGAATTCTTGGGCTTCCTTGTCTGAAATTTGCTTATAATTCCAGCCGCCGTCGACGAGCTGAGGCCAGTGTGAATAACTGAGACACGCCGAAAAAATTAAATTGGAAAACAGAATGAACTTACGTCAACAGGAAGACCATGGTCATGAAGATATTCGAGAAGGTTGAGGCGATGAAGCTGCGCATCTAAAAATCTGTCTTCCGCATCTTCAACTCCGTTCTAATGCCGCGGGTCACGTTAGCAAAGGACCAGGGGAGGGAAAAAACATGACATATCAGTCGGGGCCTCACGAACCTTGAAAATATCGCGAACGGCGCCGAGTTTGGCATGTTTAGACTTGAAGACGGTCCTGGCGGCAGTCGCCAGCTTGTTCTCCAAGTAAAGGAGGGATCTCTCGAAGCGAGCGCCGAGATTATCCTCGATGACTTTGAATTCCGGCACCGTTGTGTGGTAGTCCTTGTCATTCGTGAGTGTATCGATGGAGCGCGAAGCCAGATCTTGTAGCGCAGGCTTCACGGCATTGGCGAGAGCTGCGTACTGTGCCTTGAGCTCGCGTTGACGTTCATAATTTGCCTGGACTTTGTCGTCTGAGAACTGCTTGAAGCGGCCGCGTCGACCAGTGCCGGCTGTGGCTGCGGGTTTGGGTGGCTCCTTCTTTGGCGCGACAGCTTTTCTGCCCCGGCCTCTACCGCGGCCCTTGGCCTTGGGAGTGAGCTGAGGCGTCGGAGTCGAGAAAGACTGCTCCGGTGTCTCAGCGTCTGACATGATGGCGGTGGCCGTTCATGAAAGAGACGTGAAGACGGGGGAAATGGGGGTATGTGGAGGCAAAAGTGAGAGCGGGTATGGTGTAATGAGATGGGGGCGTCTGTGAGATGGGTAGAGTGAGGTACAGGGTGCGGTACGGATGGATAATTGAGATGTGATGCGGCCGAAGATTTCTCGGCCAACCTCAGAAAATACGTGAGCAGGCGCGATTGCTCGGGGTGAGGAAAGTGCTTTGGCTTGAAGATGTCTGTAGGTTGTTGGCTGTTCGGAGAACAGGACGAAGGTGAAGGTGTGTGGGTTGGACGGGGATGGTAGTGGTGTGGGCTAAGAAAATGACAGCCGGCTGGCCTCTCTCTGCAACGACCGGAATTTCTCAATGAGAGACCAGCTTGGGAGGGGAATAAAAGGAATCAGGGTGAAGATGAGAGTCGTGCGCAGAGATGGCTGTAAGAGTGAATCAGGGCGAATGAGATGTTGAATTGGGAGCGTGGAACGAAGATTGCTTCGCTTTTTTCCCCTTCCTGCCTTTTGCAAATAATACCAGGCGGAGCGCAGCAGAGGCAGGAACAGACGTGACCACCCTGCTACAGCGAGGCGGAAGGCAAGGCCCAGCCCAGCACTGTGCTGCACACACTTACACCGATCTGGTAGGAGTAGGCACGATTTACCACGTTCTGATTCGTCCGGAGGCCTAGAAAATCCGACGACCGGAAATAGCCTTCTACCCCTGTCGGCAAAAAGAGGCAAGAGGTGCCCGGTACATGACGATTCTGCCATCTGGCCGTCCAAAGTGCTGTCACGCATCTTACTCCGTACCTTACACCACCTACCTTTCTTTACCTGGAGGTATCTGAGTGTAAGCCCTTTTTCTGAGCTGGCTCGCTCGGGTCTTTGCAACGGGCATTTGCGACTTGGCAGGCCAACAAGCGAGCATGCCTGAATTACATCCCGGGGCAATGATGAAAACGACTGTGGCTTCACTGTTCTATAGAACCTTGGACCTGTCATCATCGCTGCCTGCTCTTGTACTTGTTATCCTGTTATCTACTATCTCTGTTAAACGCATATAACCACGTACCTGATTTTACGTAGACTAAGGCGTTCCTTCTTTGGCGCTTCTCTGCGTCGTCCTACTCACAACAGCCACAAAGCGCGTCCGCCATCATGACGATGACCTAAAGCTACTAGCAACGAGGCCTGTCCCGTTTCTTGTCTATGGCGCCTGCTTCCTTCCTGTTCATCCAAGAAATACAAGTTGCTCTTCATATTCTGGAAGGACAAAGTCACTCAGCAAATACCCCCGCCGTTGATGGAAGTGCAATTAATGGCAATCAGTCTTTTGACACTCTCCCCTTGCTTACTCACGTATCTTCCATTGATATCGGCGTTACCGTTTTTGAGTATCGTTCTCGTCCCACCAGACCGTGATGAGGCAGACATTTTCTTCTCAACCCCAAGTACCTCAGGCTGTTCGGACGAGTCGGACAGCCTGTCGGACGGGGCGACTTTTACAGGTCCTGGTCCCGTCCGGGTGGGCCTGTTGTTGAACCAGATCCCGAGCTCCAGCCGGACGGGTGCAAGTTCTTTCCCAGGACCCAGTGAGGTGCAGCGTGGTGTTGTTCCGTGGCTGGTACAGCTGGCTCACCGACGAGTATCCTGGGCTCGAAACAACAATAAGCGGAATCAAATGACCAGACATTCAAGCACACGGTTCTAATATACGTGCTCCGTTACTTACGATATTATGGCAACCAGCAGATGATGGCACCTGTTGCTGGAGGGTTGCACACAGTCACACTCCTGGCATGCTCGCCTCCCTTACGTCTGCGATTCCTGGTTCGTACACAGTAATAAGTCGCCAGTTGCTCAAGGTTCGGGAGTGCCAGGTAAGCCTCATTCGCCCAAGTACCGGCCCACTTAGCTAATAAGAGCCACGCTAAGAAGAAGGGACGAACAACAACCACAATCAGACACCTCACACCAATATGCATCCAAAAGCAATGGATGGGTTCAATAGATCACGTTGAGATTGGTTTGGGCCAGTCCTTAGTACTAAAAAGAGCACCCGACAACTTTCGTGAAAACGACGAGAGTGGTCTCCCAAGTTCAATAGATCCGGCTCACCCTCCCTGCAGCGCCTGCAAACTTGAAGGTCCCGTCCATCTCACGACGCACGCCCGGGGGGACGGATGCCCACGAGTCCCCTGGCGCCTAGGTGGACAGCACACTTGCTCCCGCACACCAAATGTACCGGATACCTCCCAGGTCCCGTCTCCCGCCGCCCTCTTTCTCATCCGCCCCCTGTGGTTATCCATAATCCGGTGTCGCCCAATCCACTCCCCCGTACCAGGGGTCGGTTTCTAAGGAGGCCACTGACACTTGACGAGCTTGAAAAAAAAAAGAGAGGGTTCCACGGCTGAACCTCGTCTATTCCCGAGCCGCCGGAGCGCGCTCATGCCTGCTCACCGCCGTAGTGTCGCAAAAGTCAAAAGGTACGGCAGAAAGCGCCCCAGATAGGGAAGAAGCAAAAAAAAAAAAGTTTCTCAGTCGCGGTACAACAGAGCGTGGCGTACATACCTTACACACCCTTCCCACCCCCCGGGCGCCGACACGGGTAGCAACAGCACCACCGCCGACCACCGCATCCCACTTTGCACCGCGATACACGCCGTACGCCGGACGTCACCTCAAAATCTAACCTGACCACCACGAAACGGCCCGGACCGCGACCCGATACCTACCTATTGCGCCGCATACCCCCCCCACCCCTCGCCGAGCCACCAGCATCCTAACTACAGTCGCCCGCCATGGCCAAGAAGCGCAAGCTCGGGGCGATCAACCACAAGAGCCACTTCGTGGACACCGTGAAGAAGAAGACTGGCGGCGGTGCGCCGCAGAATAACAAGAACGGCAAGAACAACAACAAGAAGAAGAACTCGCAGAGCGCACACGCCATCGAGAGCGACGCCAAGAAGAAGAAGGTGCAAAAGCAGTACCACCAGAACCAGCAGCCCGTGATCCCCTTCTCCAAGGAAGACGCCATCCTGCTGATCGGCGAGGGCGACCTCAGCTTCGCAGCGAGTCTTGCGACGCATCATGGCTGCCGTAACCTGACAGCGACGGTCCTCGAGAAGAACGAGCGGGAGCTGCTGGAGAAGTATCCCCACGCCTCGGAGAACATTGCGCAGATCAACGGGACCGCCACCACGACAAAACCCACCAAGTCAAAAGCAGCAAAGAGCGAGGGCGAGGGCGAGGGCGATGGCGATGCGGAGGACGATGGAGACGAGTCACCAGAGGCAGAAGAGGAGGAGGACGAGGAGGAGGAAATCGACGAGGATGAGGACGACGACGAGAAATACAAACCCCCCGTCCAGAACAACAACAAGATCCTCTACAACATCGACGCCCGCACCATGAAACCCTTCACCCGCAAATCCGCCTCGAACCACCGCGGCTACCACATGGCAGCCCCGACAAAGACCGGCATCTTCAACCGCATCCTCTTCAACTTCCCCCACGTCGGCGGCAAATCCACCGACCGCAACCGCCAAGTCCGCTACAACCAAGAGCTCCTCGTCGCCTTCTTCAACTCGGCCCTCCCCAGCCTGGCGCCCAAGGGCTCCATCGTCGTCACCTTGTTCGAAGGCGACCCGTACACCCTCTGGAACGTCAAGGACCTCGGCCGCCACGCAGGCTTGCAGGCGCTGGAGAGCTTCAGGTTCTATTCGCACGCGTACCCGGGCTACAAGCACGCCCGGACGGCGGGGGTGATACGGGAGAAGAAGACGGGGGAGGCGAGCGGGGCGGCGTGGAAGGGCGAAGAGAGGGCGGCGCGGAGTTTTGTGTTTATGCGCAAGGATGAGGCGCCGGAAGAGGCGCCTGCTTCCAAGAAGAAGAGGAAGCGTGGCGGGGAGGAGAGTGATAGTGAGGAGGAGATTGAGGTTTCCGAGGTGGAGGACTTTGATCCTAATGAAGCAGGGGGGTGGGTTGGGGAGTAACCAGCCAACGAAGGAAGATCAGACGGGAAGGACTGACTGCTCACATATATTCGGCAGTGAAGAGATGGAGGGCTTACATATCTCCTCATGGGCGATGGGAGTGCAGAAGGAAGGCCTTAGCAGCGCCTGAAGTGTATATGGCCTAGCGGAGGAAGGTGATGCCTGGGATCGGCAGAGAACGCGAGTTCGAATTTGGTGGCCCTACATAAACTCACAGGCAGCTCATTTTTTGGTCTCCCTTTTCTCTCCCACCCAGCTCAACCCCCCCCCCCCTCGACCCCCCCCAGACTCCAAGGTTGTTTAGTATAAAATACCCAAGATAGGGAGCTGGAAAGCCCAAGTCCACGGAGAGAGGATGTGTGTGGTATTGGATTTGCCACTTTTCCGTACAGAAATTTCGCATCTAGGCAATAGGCAGCACGGCGTTCATCACGGAATGGTCGAGTCGGTCCTCGGAACATAAAAAAGTTATCTGGTTTTAGAAAAGCACAATGGAAATCCTCAAGGCACTTTGAAGGGCTCACAAGAGAAAGACGAAAAGGGAGAAGAAGTAATGCTGATACTTGATTCCTTCCTCCAACTCTTTGATAAGGTGAACAGATATCATGCACTGGCAAAGTATAGAATCTTCACATCCATTACTGTTACCATGGTTCAGTACTACCTTGGTTCAACCTATGTTTGTTATCTGCCTTTCTTTTTTTGTACAAAACGCCAATGCCTGCTGTGTGACTTTTATGTCATGGTGCCCAAATGTTATTGAAAGAACCCAATGCCTGTCCGTTGGGGATGCCATGCCGCCGCCCTATTCCCCTAGAAAGAAAAAAGAAAAAAAATGGACACATTGGCCTAGGTACAGCTTTCACTTGGCCACAACCAGTTTTCTTTTCCATGACCGAAAATATCCACATTATAATCGTAACAAAACACCTAAACAAAATCGAAGTATCCGAGAGAGATACTTTGTTTGCTTTGGGTGGGGGTCTGCTGATTCCCTTCCAGAACGTTGAAAAATGCAATGTGCCTGCTTATACATACAAAGCCGGGTGCCTCTTCACTCCGGCTTGTTCGCTCGGTCGACACCTGCCCTCCATCAGATGTCGCACAACTCTGGGAATCCCTTGCTCTCAAGTACTACGTCTCAAGCCTGAGGTGGGCGTCGTGTTGTGACCGTGTCTAGTGGCCCAGAACCTCTTGCTGCCGAGCCACTTCATTGCCGGCATTAGCAATGGCGGACTCATCCACAGCCTCTCCCCCGTTAACCGGAGGATGACCGTTCAGGGCGCTTCCAATGTCCATAGCCTTGGTGAGCTCTTCCTCTTCTAGCCGTTCTGACTCCTCGTTCTCTCGCATCAGAGCCTCCTCCTGCTCCTTCAGAGCCCGCTGCTCCTCTGATAGCGGCTCCTCAGGGGTAGCAATGGGTGCCGGGTCAGCGGGAGGGGGCGGGGGTGGAGGCGGAGGTGTTGCACCATCCGCATCAAGCTCTCTTAAGCGCTTCACGGATGGCTCGTCCGAGGGAGTCAGGCTTTGTGACTCAACTGCCTCCTCCTCACGCTTGCGTTTGCGCTCAGGGCTACCCATCGATCCGCCTTCCTCATTGTCAGATAGTACAACGTCGTCAGCTGGTGAATCAATCTCCTTGTTGGTCGAAGCGACAGAGTCCTTTGACTTGTCCAGGTCGCCTTCGGGAGTCGCCTTCTCCTTTTCGATGTGTCTGAACTTCACAATGGCCTTGTCCAAGAAATCCTTCACGTAGATCTTGACCTTCCTGGCTGACTTCTGATCAAGTGGAGTCGTGGGGTCTTGGATTCGATTGCGCTTGTAGTCTGATGAGACAAGTTTCTTGCAGACATCCTTGCCGAGTCGCTTGAGATCGTCCTTGGGAAGCTTGTGTCTATACTTATCGACAACATACTTGACGTGGGGGAAGAGCTGCAGAATGGATTAGCAGATGGCCAGGAACTCCAATGAAGTAACATACCGTATTCTCATAGATCTTCATCTGTTTGTCGATGCTAAGAGAGCGCCACTTTTCCTGCTTATTCTCCTGAACGGGAGTCTCTGCGCGTTGAGGTGTCTGTGATGCCGAAGGTCTGGGGGTTTGCTCCTTCGTGACTTGGTCAATGATATTCTTGAGCAGCTGCTGCTCTTGCAACGCCTTGGGTGTCGACTTTTGAGCGTCAGCGGGCTTGGTGGGACGTTGCCAAGTTGTAGCACCGTTCTTGCTGTAAAAGTACGTGTTTCCGCGCTGATCCGTTGCTGTGAACCATCCAAGTGGTAATGCTCCATGGCCATTGAAGTTCTGGGGTCTTCTTTGGCGAGGAGGACCATTGAAGAAGTGTGTGTTCCGTTGCGGAATGTTGCTTCGAGGTCCTTTGGGGATTTCGACATTCTGAAGGGGGTCGGGAGTCGATTTCGCAGTCACGTCCTCTTCGCGGTCCATGTTGCGCCTCTCTTGGAAGGAATTTGTGGCAGATGTGTTGGGGTCAAACTTTCGCTTCCCAATGCGGTAACCGAGCTCCAATTTGGACCATTCGTCCAACAGCTTCTTCGACTTCGCGCTGACCTCTTCATGTTCTGACTGACTGAGTACACCAATGGTGGCTTCAATCTTGGAGCCCTCAATCTTGTTTCGGGTCAGTCGCGGGAATTTGTCGAGAATATCGAGAGCCTGAAGAACGACGTTGTGGTCGTCGATAAAGGTGTTGAGCGTTGTCTTGAGAATCTGATAGGCGTGCATGCGCATGACGGAATGGATCACCCGCTCATCCTCACACTGTTGAATGCGCTGCAACAGCTTGACAGCAATCCATTTCTCCTTGCACTGCATCAGAGTCGCCATGACCTTGCGCGCATCATCGTCGTCGAGGCTTCTAGCCTGCACGCTGTTAACGTACTCCTCGTCATCTTCCTCGGGTTTCTTTTTGCGCGGCTTCTTGGCCACCGCTGTGTCCCAGGCGTCACCGTCGTCAATGCCGAGCGCCTCCACTGTGGTAAGGGGCAACTTGGTCGCCCGCTCGGTCTGGGTCTTGCCGCCAATGAATCCAGTGCAGTTCGACTCGCCACAGTAGCAGGGCTGGGGGTCGGCTCCATAGCGGTCAACATTGTAGTTGAATACCAACTCCTCACCGGCTTTGATTTTGCGGGAGGAGAAAACGCCCATGCGCAGCTTTTCTCCAACGACCCATTTGTCGACGTAGCAGTTCGGGTTGCATGAGTGGTTGCAAAAGCGGCCCAGGTTGCCCTTCTTTGTCGCATCGACGAATTCGTGCTTGGTCAGCGACATGAAGTAAAAATGCTTGATACCCTCATCATCGTACTGCACCATCCGTCGTCGGAATGTTGGCTCGTTAATGACCTCGCCAATGTATTCGAAAATGAAGTCGTTAGCCTGCATATCGACGTTGGCGCGGAGGCCGAAGCCCTTCTTCTCCGTCTTGATGACTGAAACGTCGGCGAACTGCTTCCGCTGAAATCTCTGATTCTGGCAGCCGTCGCCGCAGTTGCCAGCGCCAGCGAGGCACTCCATCTTCGTCGCCCTGTTGATGCAGTCGGAGTCTTCGCCACAGGATAAATTTTTTCCTTCGTCTGTAGACACGCAATTTTCAGTCAGGGGCCGCTCGCGATGGTTTCGCACAGCAGCGAGAGAGGACGGGGAAACTTACGCCACTCGGAACGGCAGTCGCAGTCGAGAGCATCGTTGTCGGTTGAGCCCATGTGCTTGGAACCGTACAGACAATCGGGTATGACCTGGAAGGTGCTGCACGACTGCTCCGTGACGTCTGGCAGGTCGTGGAAGAGAGGCGACTCGCGCTTCACGGGCTTCTGCGATGCTTTGCGTGAAAGTTTCGGTCGCTGTGCGCCTCCTGGCGTCGAGATGCCTTCGCCATTGACCATGCCCTCACTGGGCGACATGCTAGCGGTGCGGGACCCCTGGTTGCTCTTCTTCTGCGACGATGTCCTGCTTGGGTCTCGCTCCATGTTGACGCCGTTGGGCGCGACGCCATCCTCAATCTTTACCTCCTCCATCTTCACCGTCGCCAGCGCTTCATCCTCCATCAAGCCAGTGCGGGAACCCTCGGTAGGGCGAGTTGCGCGAGACGAGGGATGTGTAACGGTATTCGCGGTTCGTGTCGTCCAAAGCCTCGAGCTGCGGCGTTTGCTCAGAGAAAATCGAGAGGTTGGAAAGGAGGAATTTACGATTCAGCCAGGTCGGTGCGCATGTAGGGGCAAGAGCTGTTGTGTTGGGTGGGGAAGGAAAGAAGGAACGGGAAGGCGAGAGAGAGAAAACGGGGGGACGAGTTGAGGCAACGGCGCGTTGGGTGGTGAAGCGATTACTAGTTGGAGCCAGAGATTCTCGGCATTGCAGACAGTCGCTCGACGTGCCGGAGATACAATTGGGGCTATTGAGGACCTGCGTAAAATAGGGTATACCAGAGAAGAATTGTTGGTTCGGCTGGCAGAGCGCCCGGAGAAGGAAAAAAAAAAGTGAAGTGAATCCAGAACGCAGTCGCAAAGGACGGCGGACACTGGCGAGGATTATCTCACAGCAGTTTCCGAAGGTGCGCAGCCACTCAGCTAGTCGCACTTTGGGCTTGGGGTCTAAGAGCCTAGCCACTTCCCTGTGGTTGAGCCTGGGAGCGCCGCCGACAGCTGTAAGCCAATTTGTCAATCACGGCCAGCACCCCGATCCGACCGGCGGTGCCAATTGTTCGGATCATATCTACCGCCGGGCCCCGAGGTCTGGCCTTTTGGAATCCGATCGCGACTTCCCCAGGAATAGCATGCGGGAGATCTGCCCAATGGCTGTGTCTAAATGAACCCCACCATCGAACCCTGGCCGGTACAAAGGTACTTATTTTTGTTGCTGAATCTCACGTCGCTGAAGTTACAGCAAATGGATTGCCCAATTGCCCAATGCTGCTGTGTGTGTTCCGGAAGAGCACGCCTAGCTTCAATTTCAAACCCAACACCAGAGGACGTTGATTGTGTTTGTTGTGTTCTTTCCTGTGAAGCTCTCTGGTGGATTTTTTCCACACTAAGCCTTGGAAATTATACAAGTTGCATGCATGCTGGCTTGTTTCTCGTGCTGGAAAGCGCAATTACCTGCATGTAGGCAAGCTGGAGTATCTTGGAAAACCGTGAATAACGACTTTGATATTTTTTCAAAGTACAACCCAGGGAATGCAAGAGCCATGCCAACTTCAACATTGTAACTATGGGATAGCATGGTCGAAAAGGGCGCACCAATCGGCAAATTTATGTGTAAGCTGGGGTTCATCGCAATCAGGAAACTCAGTTTTGGGTTGTCCCTCACCGACACTTTGCATCCACCTGGTCTCTATTATATCCCACATATGAAACACCCCTGAGCATTGAGAGTGCCAGTTTAAATCGGAGGCTTATCTGGGCCAGGTGGTATGCGGAGACGGTGAGTCTGTGAAAATCTATACACTTTAGTACAACCACATGGCATCGAGTATCGGCCAGAATCCAGTCAAAATGCATTAGATTCGACAACTTGACCTACAGTAGAGCCACCCAGTCGTCCTCTCCAAGTTAGAGCGTTGTCACTAGACCATGTTCATCCGATGGTCAACTAGTCGTGCAACCTGCGCAGCCCGACGGGGTTGCTAGTGTCCCGAAGATTAGCTACCAAGAAGATGTGAGTAGGAGCCAAAGGGTAAGGGTAGTTTGAAGCAACATGATGCACGAAACCTAGCGATGTGATGCAGACCTCACAATGTGGCAACGATGCCGTCGCATGGGAGAACCAGCATGTAGTAGCCGTACCCAGCTTTGGACATGCTCGACTACTAGTTACGGCCGGCCTGGGTAGTTTGCTGTCATCTGGAAACGGCGGAGCCATTTACATGGACGCGTTGTACATGGGTGGGGCCTTCCAGTGGGAGGGTGCCAGCTCATTGTGCAGCAAAGACGTCGCTGAAGCCGGATGAAGTGGTCAAGGTGGGCAGTGAGTATAAAGAGGCGGTGGACGAACGCAGCGACCCAGTAAAGTGAGAGTCAATCCGTCGACTCATCCAATCCGACTCTCATTCGACTTGGTCTCATCGTTGTTGTCGTTGTCGTTAT